AATTGTGCAGTTATTCATTGTTTTTGCAGCATTGTCAAAATGGAAGAGCAGTGCAGATGAATGCTGTGAGCTTCTGGTGTGCCTTTATGCTGTTTTCAATTTACATCATAGTGCTAGCATTCACCAGTCATCCATACTGTGACAGCGTCAAACTGATGTCGTAGTCTGACACAAATTGCGAACCAGGATTTCATGAGCTTCATCCTGCTGTGTAACGTGCAGTAAACCGCTGCCCCTCAGTCTGAAGGCGCCTTCGCTCTCATTAAGATGAGAAGACGCAAACTGGAGGAGTTTTCTTTCTCTTTCCTTCTATCCTCATCTCACTTATGCTGCTTCATTTCCATATCTCCATGTCCATGCAGACAAGCAAGCAATTTTCTCATTAGACTCAGTGTGTATTCATATTCAAACTTACCTACTTAGACAGTCACCTTTCTAATTCACTAATTCACCATTCTCCAGTGATTCATCTCCATATTTACGGGCCAGATTCCTTTCAAAGGAACCATAGAGATTCTCAGCAGGAAAACGTTGCTTCTCGTGTGTGAACGGACCCATTCCAAACACTCAGCTTTCCAATTATAGTACATCCCGCTTAACTGATGCTTATTAATTCCTTCAAACTCATTATGACATGCAAAATAGGGCACTCCCATGAGACGAATACTAATGAAAGTAGAAACTTCTCAACAGTGCTGCCGCTGTCAGAGGTCTTTCTGTTGATGTTTGCTTTAGGCTCCAGCACGCACACAAAATAAATTCCCCTTTGAAAAGAGCATATTTAAAGAGTCCACTAGTGAAATCACTGTGAGGGACCATTGATCAGCATCAGCTTCTTCTTGTGGTAATCGCTTGTGACAGTAGGGGCCTGCAGTACTCGTGCAGCAGTGTGTATGGATTATGTCTAGATTAGAAGAGGGTCCTACAGTAGAGTGCTTGTAGGTGGAGTAAATAAAGCATGGAGTCCGGGCTCCCCCTGACTGACACTTAGCCAGCAGTGCCAGGCCATAGGGCTAACCCAAACAAAACACTTCAATCTGTCGCCGCTGCTCTGCTCAGCTCCTGGAGGGCTTGATTGATTGATTCGCCGGGCAATCAGAGAACATTGATCGCAGACACCCACTACCACCACCGCCACCTCTCCAGGCCTGCTCTCTGTCCATTCATTTGCCCGCTGTATTCACTGGAGGGCTGTAGCTGCGGAAGCCTGCACTCTTAAACACACATCCAGGCTTTCTGAAGGAAATAAATTACACTGCTTCAAACTGGACACATTATTGTAATTGAATTCTCCCTGGATCTGGTCGCTTGTGTGATCATGGGTCAAGGGTCATTGATATACAGTGTCAGGATATTAAAAGCTTGCTTAGTTTCAGTCTTGAGCATATGCAGTTTTCACGACGTTGGGGGTCAGAGTGCTTCCAAAGCTTAGATGGACTTAAAACCATCAGTACAAAAAAGCAACAGAAATAGAAAATGTAAATGTGAAAATGTAAAATAAATAAATAACCTGTGTTCATAAAAACATGAGGATAACAGTCATTTTAGTAATAATCATCTGATCACTGAACATTTTGTGTTGATATTCACACCTTCTGAAATCCAGAACCAAGTCAGATTTGAACTCACAGATGTCACATGCACACTGCTGAAATCAGCATGGCTTACTCTTTCCAGCAATCTGAGTACACCCAATGTCCATTGAGGATACAAATCTGTTCGGAAATTATATATAAATAGTTTCTACTTATGAGCATAAGCATAAAAACAGGAAGGCAGGAGCATATTCGATGGAAGTGCAGTGCAGACTTTATTCCATGAGTTTACGTTTTGCCACAAAGCTCTGAAGAAGGTTCTTCTCCTAACTCCTGCGTCCTCATGGTTGTTTGCTACCTACGATCATTAAAATGCTTTGTGCAGTTGAGCACATCTCCCCACTGTTTTGACTGCATTAGCTATACAATTATGCAAAAAAAATATTTATTACATATAAATCTGTGAAAATATTAATTTTTTATGAAATGTATGTTTTGGCAGGAGTAAGAAGCTCAGTATGTCCCATACAAGCAAAAACCACAATTTCAAATTATGTAAAGCTTTATTTTTTCATGCTGTTGTAGAACAGGTATAGTAAGACTGACATGAAAGCATCTCTGAATGTGCTGCTCACAGTGATCTGAAGTTTAATCAGTTCATAATGAGATTCTGGGCAAAGCAACGTGAGGTTATCAGTGAAAAAAAACTGATAAAAAACAAAAACTGTTCTCCCAAAAGTATTTACATTAATCCTAAATTAAATGGCAAAATAATGTGTTATCAGTTCTGACTTTCATGATACAACCAATCCAGGGCCTACTGCACCATGGGTAAACTGGACCTTCACTGCATAGCTACTGAAGCTTCATCACACTTTAATACTACCAGAGTTACTGAACGGGGAGCTTTCTGTGCATCACCCCAACCCAGTAAACATCACTTACTCCTACATGGTTTTCCTTTAAAAAATGCACAACTCAGAAGAGTCGTAGAGAGCACTCATAAATGGATCAATCAATGGATCAATAAGAGAGTGGAGCGTCTTCCTAGGGGAACATCTTTGAGAGAAGGGAGAGTGCAGAAACAGTGGAGTGCAGATATTCCAAACATAGAAAGTGGTGAGAAAAATGTCTTCTTTACTTGTTTTTACATTTACATGAGCAATTATTCATCTGTCAGATGTTTTTATCCAAAGTCACGTACAGTGAGAGACAACACTAAAGCTTCAGTGCAGTGGGAGACCTTGGTGTACATACTAAGTACCAATAGAAACTATATGTTCTCATGTGCATCAACATTCAGCACTGATTCTGAGTGTTTACTTGCTAGTCCAAGCTAGCCTAAACAAGCACAGCAAAGCATGAGCATGTTATTATATACAGCATACGCTTTCGCTGAGGAAGCTCAGTTGAGCTGTCAGTCACCAGTGAGGAGCTCCACTGCAAACAGCTACTGATTTGTTGATGGAGATTTGTTTGCACTGAACACCTCTAGTGTTCACAGACAAGGGAGCCGGATATTACTGTACAAATGTACGTGGAACAGCATTCACATGCAAAATCTGGTACTCACACATTACTAATTAAGGCGTCACAGCAATGTGCTGGCTGTTTTAGTAACAAGTAGATGTCAGATTTGAAATTGAGCAACTGGGACCTGGATGGAGGGTTGATGTCAGTTTCCTGTCTGTGCACTCAGTGGAGAAGCTGGTCTGAAATGTGTTAGCTTGTCACATAAACTGGAGGTAGGGAAGATTTTAGATTACAGTACTTAACATCACATGACCAGCCAGTGCAATGCATAATTTTAAAGAGCTGTCACTGTGTTGGATCTGAAATATTATAACATAACTAGCTCCATATGATATTAGAGGAATGCCTCTCTGCTTCGTTTCTGTTCTTTCTTCCATGATTCTACCTATCCTTTCCATACGGGGCACCTGTATGTGGGTAATCGTAAACAAATTTAATTTGGTCACTCTGTGTAATAAACACTGCAACAGTCATGTTGACAAGGCTATACTAACATATAATAGGTCACCACTACAGATAGTGTATGTACATATTTCATATTTCATTACTATAATCATTAGCAACAAAGGATATTGATGTTGTTTCATTTACATCTGTGTGTGATGCAGTACAGGATTCTTAGGTCTGATCAGAACGTAGGGCCTCTGGTTAAGAAAACATTATGACAGGGCGTCAGCAGATAACTGCACATCTCAGGGAAACCTTTCAAATGTGAATACAAGTGCTAAACTTGGCACAAATCCTCCTTGTGTATTACTCTTTTGATAAAACCTGTTAGCCAATTGAATGTTCAAGATGGCCGCCATTTCTGGCAAAGAAATATTATGTTTTTTCAATAAATTAATTCACAATTATCTCATGAATAATCTAGGTGTCAAATCAAACATTTTAACAATGTATAAGATGAAATTTAGTACACTGTTAAACATGAAGTGAAAATCAGCAAAAATCACAAAAAAGCTCACTAACTAGCCTAGTGCTAGCGAGTTAGCCTCACGTGCTAATGTGAAGACACTAAACAAGTCAACTGTCGGCACGTACAGAACCTTTGGTTCACCATTCATAATAAATGGTTTGCAAATACATTATGTTTTATGCAGAATTTTTCACATTACATATTAGAAATTGCACGAATAAAGCTCTGAGGAAATTGTTGTGGCCATGTTGTATTAATGTGATAATGCATGCTACTGGAGTTCTGGTCCTATAGTCTAGTATCATCTTGTATCTGCTGTCACAAGTATTCATATTTAAAGATTTTTGCCTTGTCTTGAATAAAAATATTTCAGACATCAGAGCTGTAACATGATCGAATGGAAGAGAATCACACAAAGCTTCCTCCATTATAGTAAACCATCAATAACATTATAGATAACCATCAGCTTAGTGTATATCTGTATAAAACTTGCACATTAAGTTACCACCGTTTGTCATTGCTGACATTCAGATATTTAGACCCAGTTGTTTCTTTAATTGGATCAGTTTGTCAACTTCTGGGTGAGATTGGCAGATATAAACACTGGCTGTCTAAGTCACCGCCTTTGTCATTAGCATGATGCATACTGCTTGTGCGGTCAAGATATATGCGCTGGTTAGTCATGTGACATGACATCTATGGTTTATCAAACTGGCAGGAAAAGGGACGAGTAAATCCATTCTCATTTTTGTGAACAGAAATAAGGGAGTTTGTTTATTTTTCCCTTTTTCTGTCGAACTGATATAAAAGCTTTAAAAGTGAAAACCAGTTTTCTTCTGAATAAGCCACTTCGCTGTGATTGAGATGCTTCTTCTGACTCAAATTACTAGTGTAACAAGGGTCCGTGTAATTAAGTCATAACTTAATTACATGGGCCGCTGGCTACTGTAAAAAGCATCTTTTCCATTTTTCAACCCTGCTCAGTCACTAATCAATTGTCTCTTTTTCTTTGACAGGGGGAATATTTGAGTCCATTGAGAGCGGCCCATCAGGTGCTGAGGAACTAGCCTTTAAATTTGCTTTAAACACAATCAACAGGAACAGAACTCTACTGCCAAACACCACGCTCACCTATGACATCCAGAGGATAAACATCTATGACAGCTTTGAGGCCTCCAGAAAAGGTATGTATGTGTTTGTGACCGGCACATCATATATACATACACTATACAGAGGGGGTCCAAGAGTCTGAGACCACTTGTGGTCCCCACTGTGTATATAGTGCAGTACTCACATTTGCTCAGAGATGAAAGGTATGCCACAATATAATTATTGTTGAATGTCAATCTGGTTTATGCTTGGAGGACACATATGTAACAGTATTCACTAATTTTAGATTGGACTGATTACAATGAGTTAATCTTGTTTGTGGATTATAATAAGGCCTCCAACACTGTGGAGGACAGTTTTTCTTTCAGTATTTTAGTTTTTTTTGGCTTTGGCAATTATTTTAAACAGCCAATTCAGACAGCATACCAAGGCTGTAATAGTTCAGTAAAATTACAAAATGGAACCACTCTTAGATTCAATATCAGCAGAGGGATCAAACAGCGGACCCAGCTGCTCTTTACTTCTTTTTGCTCATCACTTCACATTAAAAAAGAATGTCAAAGGTATAGAAATAGCTGGAAAAAAATTAAAACGCTGTCAATTATCAGATGAAAATAAGTAAAAAAAAAAAAAAAAAAAAGCCATTGATTGTCTTTTTTGCATTCTCTTTGGTATCAGGTCTAACTCTAAATATTAAAAAAGAAAAAAATACTTTTTGCTATAAAGGACTTCCCATAGGTATTGAAGGTATTTCCATAAAAGATGTTGTATCATACTTTATATTAAAATTAGCAAAACTTGAGTTGAATTTCAATCCGTTAATTGAAAAAATATTAAAATAAATTGAGAGATTTATGGTTAAATAGCCTTGTATAGTTACCATGGCTGGTATAAACAGCAGTGGTCCTGGATGTTCCAAACAGATTAACACCAAACGTTTTCATTTTGTTTGGAGAAACAACCTTCATTATAAAAAAAGAGCTATGTAACAGTTCAAATTTAGAATCTTGAATTATTTTCAATAGAAACGACCAAATCAACACCATGTTTCTCAGGTGAGTCCGAGGCTCACAGAGATGGAAAAATCTCAACATTTTCAAATACAGCAAGCGCAGCTCAGGTCATGTGACAGGAATGAACCAATCAGCTCCACAGGACTGGCTTCACCCTTACCGTCCAAGGACTTCACAACATGCAGTTGAAAGGTTTTGGTTGCTAACATAAGGCGCAACGATAACGCAACCTCCCAAGCACCTGGATGGCCCTTAACAGTGCTAAATCAGTTCTATTTCCAAATTCAAAAAGCAACATTCTGTCAGAGATGACATCACAGTTTGTGTGACATCATTATTTATGTCGTTCGTCTTCGTTCACTTTTTCTTCACTTCACAAGTAACGTGTAGAAAGACGATGTTTGAAGCTTTGTTGAGATCCGCTCATCCAAAAACCTTCAGTCGACACCATCTGTCCTCGGGCCTCAGCAGTGTGTGTGAAGACTCTCAGTCCAGATCATGGAGTGTCTGACAGCGCCACCAAGACAAGATGTTTCACTTCTCATCCTAAAGGCTCAGTTCTAACTGACTAGTGGGGAGTTAACACCTTGAGGTCCCATATGTGTCATTGACCACCAGCCATCATGTGAGTCATTAGGGTCACATGAGTCATGGTGTGGATGGGTGTTAAGCTGCCTCGGGAGTGATCTAGAGACTCCATTGTAAGTGGCTTATAAGTGGTGTAGACCACCTCCTGTGTTTAGTGATGGTCCTTACAGATTAACGGCTCCTTCTCTGGCCAAAATGGCAGGTGTGGTGTGGTTGTGTGTGTGTGTGTGTGTACGTGTGTGTGTGTGTGTGTGTGTGTGTGTGTGTGTGTGTGTGTGTGTGTGTGTGTGTGTGCGAGTGCACATATACTTTGCCATAGTTGATTTGCAATGCAAATGTATTCCCTGTTTGAGGCTTACGAGCTGCAGTGGCTTAGATTGCGACAATTATAATCAGGCGAGGAAGAAATGGCTGAGCACTTCAAATGTAAACAGAGAGAATTGATTGGTTCCAGGTAATGACTCAGCGGCAGTAATTCAAAGACCTGTTTGGCCCCCAGAGACAGCCAATAAAGTGCTATAATCTACCAGTTTTGTGTGTGCATCAGACTGACATTTCAAGTCTCTTATCAATAATGGCCCATTATATTCTGTCTCAGTGATTTAGCCAACTCTCTTATATTAAATAAATTGAGTACACAGTTGAGCTTATGCAAAGAGCTGTAGTTTGAATATCTTCTGATTGCAGTGCCTTGAAAGCAAGCTGAAGCTGTCATACCTTTAGCTTTGTGTTGTGGATCTGGAATGCAATAGAAGTTGTGTAATCACTATTAGCAGATACTAGTGCAGCACCCGTTCAACATGTGCTTGTCCTATTAACGATGTAACATGTAGAGGAGCGATGTTTGAAGCTTTCTCCAGAACCGCTCATCCACAAACCTTCACAGTCCATGCTGTACGTCCTCAGATCCTCAGCAATACACTGTGTTCGAAGACAGACTCACACACACACCAACACACAGACACACACACACACACACACACACACACACACAATCGTTCATCCATTCATCCATTAGGCCTGGCTCGCACTGTGTATTCGTTCATCTGAATGGGGTGGAGGTCACTTTGCTCTTCTACATCTCCTTCGTGACGTCATGGCACTGAGCTCGGTGTGGTTAATGAATAAACACAGACAGAATCTAAATCAAAATACTTGAGGTTTATCATTCATGTCAACAAAAGGTCTCCCCACTCTAAGCAGCACACCACTCTCCTCTCCACTTCCTCTAGTCTTTGTCTCCTCTCTCAGACTGGATCATATTAGGTGAGACCCACCTTCATAATTGACAACCAATCAACAGAGCAACTGACAGCCTGTGACCATGACAATGCTCTAGTGACTATTTGGAGCAGCAGGATAGTGCATGTAGGACTGAGTCAAAATAAACCCCAGTGTGTGTGTGTGTGTGTGTGTGTGTGTGTTCATAGTAATGAAAGATGTCATCCAGTGCTATGGCATGGCTCACTGATGTGTTTGTAATAGCTTTTAGACAACAGTGGTGGACTACGGCACAGAGGAATAACATATATCAGAATTTATGGAAATTAAAACAAATACAGAATATCACCAGATCTGAAATTTAAATACACATTAACTAATGAATGCTATTTTATATGATGACCAACTAACTAGTCAGATATTTCTCTTCTCTAGCCTGTGACCAGCTTTCTCTTGGGGTGGCAGCCATCTTCGGTCCCTCTCACAGTTCCTCTGCCAATGCAGTCCAGTCCATTTGCAATGCCCTGGGTGTGCCACACATTCAGACCAAGTGGAAGCACCAGGTATCGGACAACAGAGATGTCTTCTACGTGAGCCTCTATCCAGACTTCTCCTCCCTCAGCCGGGCCATCCTGGACTTGGTCCACTTCTTCAAGTGGAAGACGGTCACTGTGGTTTATGATGACAGCACTGGTGAGTCCAAACACCTCCTCCACTTGCATACATTTTTTTCTAGAATAATTTTCCACCTTAGAGATTTTGTAGTGTTCTGCTGAAGTTCACACAAATTGATTTATACACATATTCTTTATTTACTTTGATCTTTTTTCTAAATACTCTGCTGCTGTAACAACCTGACTGAGCCAGGCACACTGGAACACGAGGAAACAAAAGCAAAGGGAGGCCTAGTTGATAAACTGAAAACAGTATACACTAATCAGAAATACTGGAATATACATATGACCACTGAATTACTTCACTGCATGAGGATTATCACTCATGTCAACAAAAGATCTCCACACTATAAGCGACACGCCTCACAAACAATCAAACTAGGGGTCTTCTGAGTTTTCCTCAGGGACAATACTGATACCAAGTATCATAAGTATTCAAAAAGACTGACAACCACTATTAGGATCTATACATTTGCAGTAAGAATGTAAATCCTGTGTGTCAGAATTTAGAATAACATAAACTCCAACACAGACTTTGTTGAAATGCCTTTAAGCAGATATTTAATTAAAAGAGAACGTGCAGGGAGCTCCCAGAGGCATTTCTAATAAAGTTCAATGAAAAGTTGAATGAATAAATAAATAAAATAGCTGTATGGACAGCAAACTTCCTTCCCTGGTGCTGGTCGAGTGTAATCCTTCCATACTTCACTTTTAGAACTTTTCTTTAGTGCATCCGTATGCAATGAGGCTTTAGAGAGAGACAGAAGCTGTGTCCCAGTTCAGGGGCCGCATCTTTCAGAGGCTGCATTTGAAGACCGATGGCGTCACTGCTGCGCGACTAGACTAGACTACAAAGGCTCTGAGAAATGCGTCCTTCTTTTCCTGGCAGCGAAGGCTCCAATGGGTGGGTCCTTCTTGCCCCAACCTATCCCAAGATTCATTGTGCACCAGTAATGAAAGCAAACAACAGTAACAGAGAGCCTGAGGATTACACTTTTAAATGTTTTCAGCTCAGTTCAACAGCTAACGGTTCAACTTTTAACCTGAAAACCTCAAGTTTATATGAAAAAGTTATGTGTTGTCAAGGTTGCGGGTAAGGTAAGGGCGGGCACAGCCGGTGATGCGCAGTGAAAATCCTCCGTAGACCAGACCGTCTCATCTAAGGTCAGCTTTCGTGTCCTTTGAAGGATGCGGCCCCTGAATTGGGACACTGCTAGAGAGAGAAAGAGAGAGACGGGCCTTAATTCACCATTATATTAATTTATTACAGAAAACAGCTTTGCTGCCTTTAGCATTTAGTTGGTTTCAATTATTGAAATGTTCTACGTTAACACCGTGATAGCAGGGAAGCTGTTATTCAAAACTAGGCTCCTTCATTACTGATGAGTACTATAGCTGAATATGTAACTAGCAATGTTAGTGACTATTCAACACAGGCCATTAGTCCTTAAGTCTGTTATAACAATAACAATATCCTGCACCTCCACACTTGATGTGATGTCAGTGATGTTACTAGTAGTCATGGGTTGAGACTGAGAGTATGACTAACCCTGGTAAGTCTAGAAAATAATGCAAGAGAAAATGTTGTAGCCCATCAGTTATTTTGCTTGTCAGCTGGCTAAATTATGGATTAACATATGAACTTGTTGACGTAAATTTCACAAGTGTGGAGGATATAGCAACACCCACTGAGGCAACTTAGGAAGCGGAGCAACCCAGAAACGGTGATGCTGATGAAGATCAAGAGATTGAACTGTTGTTCCTGCGTGGCCTGTAGAGATACTCTGAGAAATCCCAGCACGACCCAATTCTAAATCACACTGACATATGCAATAATTAAAATGACTAAAAATCAAGCAATGGAACATAACCTTGAACAATAATGTCTCCAGTGGTTCACTCCATTTGTTGAAACAGGTGAAATCATGTGTATTTCTGACTCTCTCAGCCGTTAATGAACCGTCGACTGCTGCTGGTTACTTAGTAATGCTGTGAGTTAAATGTTATTGTCTGAATCACACCGTACATGATGATGATTACCAGCTATAATCTTTAAAATCTTACTGTGTTAGCATGCTAACATTTTAATGCTAAACACAAAGTATAGCTGAGGTTGATGGGGATGTCAGTAGATCTGAAGATATAAGGTCACAAACCGAAGTGCCGGACATTTTTTTCAGGCCACCAAAGATATGACAATTTATTTTTATTGTGACAGGAATGTCTGTGACAAATTCCATGACAATCCACTAAGCAGTCATGAAGACATTTCTTTTCAAACCTTAAATAGCATCATCATGAAGGTGCTAGAGGAAACGTCAGTAGGATTCGTCCTCTGGGAACCATGAATGTAAAATGCAAAAAGCTGTACCAATCCATCCAGTAGCTGTGGAGATATGTAGTGTAGTCTGTAGATTAAAAGCGGTGGACCAACCACCAGACTGGAGCCACGCCTCTAGCACGGTCTTTTGCCACACAACATTTCATACAGCAAAAAATGTGTAACACAAGATGACTGTTTTGCACCTCTCTGTTTTATCGATGACCTTAACTAACGTGGAATGGTGTACTGAGGGTTTTTTCCCGGGTTCAGCTGGATATTGTTGCCATTTGTAAATGTTCCATTCTTCAGCGAGGTGAGAGAGAAGGTGTGTGATACTGCAGAAAACATGCCTGTCGTGTTGCTCAGTAAAGCAGACCTTGTTCAAACCTTGCTATTATTGCGATCCAGGTCACCCGGCCACAAATAAGCCAGCAGGATGGGCACATGTACCATATGCCATGGGTCAGGGTGTGTGCCAGCCTGAAGACAGGCTGCCAGGCTTCCCAGAGCTCCGTCCAGCAGACACACTGGGACCAATGTGCCCATGATCACAGTAGTGCAGTATGTGTTCGCTGTGTTTAGCGTTCATGCCAGATAATCTGCTTTTTGGAGTCAAGTGCTACATCACAAACAAGCAGTTATCAAGAATATTTACAATATATAGATGTATATAGATATATAGAACTCATCCTTAGTTTTCAGTGTCATCAGGGGCTGGAGGCGGTCTCTCTGGAGGCTCCCCTCAGCATGGACGGAATGGAAAACAGGTCTCAAGTCCAACACAGGGCTTACCACACGTTGCCATGTATTACTCAAGCGCTGCATGTAAATATAAAATCTTTTTGATTGAAAAAGATTTTGATTACATCCAGCACCATATTTTCACACTGATGGCCATTTTTAGTTATCTGTATTCTGCAATTAGCTCCTTATATTGTAGTTTTCCTTGTTACTGGCAGACTCTGGCTTTTCCACTGGACGTGATGCAGAGGACAGGACTTGTTCATGAGCATATTCACCTAATTCGACCACATTCGATTGTGAGTTCAGTGAAATTGTGTCGGATGACACCGACTGTCTTCTTCATGAAAACAGTGTGATGTGGTAAATGGTAACTGCTTTTATATTGTGCTTTTCTTGGCTCATCTCAACACTACAAGCTGCATTCACACAGTGCCTTTTTCTACACATACAGCACCTTAAGCGTTTCTGAAAGTCTCAGTTTTAGGGGCTTGAAAACTCCAGAGTAGTGTGGATGGCAGGAGTAACTGTAGGGAAATATATTAGTTTTAAAACTAAAATGTAGTTGTGTGGATGGAGCCACAGTCGTCCACTGAATCCTGTTTGGCTGCTCTGTAAATAGACATGAGTTCTTCTACACTGCTACTGCTCTCTGCCCCCCCCCCCCCCCCCCCGAGGTTTAAGTTTTCCTTCTGCATTCCTCGAGTATTTTAATTTCATTTTATTCATTGAACTCGTGTTCATTTACTCCATCACATTTAAAGGAGCTGCACACCTACACTTCATGGGTGTTCTAACTAACTCTGTCTGATTAGATCTCTACACAAGTTGAAGATAGATGGAGCTATGCTGGAACTACACAAGGGAAACGAGTACTTTAATGAAAAACTCACAGGAGAGTCGGAGATGCGGATCCAGCATACTGTTACACTTGAATTATATTAGTAACACCTGTGCTTTTCCTTCTGCCAGTCCTGAACTTAGTGTTCTCAATGGTAGCTACAGCCCTGAAGACATATGTTGATGCATTTCTGTAGAATGAACCACCTAACAGTTTTAAAAGGGCATCTTGCATAATAATTATTTTTACTTTTGATACTTAAATACATTTTACTAATAATATTTCGTTACTTTCACTTTCTAACAACCCCAGATTTTTTTTCATTTTTGAACTGGAAATCTTTCTCCCCAGGTGACATTGACATTTATGTAACGTTAGACTTCACACAACTCCCTCTGGAGCCACAAAAGGCTTTATGCCACTTTTTCCCACATATGTAACAGTAGGCAAACTCCCCACCACCTGAAAACAGACTTCAGTTCTCAGTTCTATGTAAAGTAAAGCTTGAATTCAGGGGTTTTCTGTGGTATTGTTATTGTGTATTGTGAATCTGTTGTATATATGTTTTATTTTGTGGTAGTGGTGCTTTTACTTAGGTGCAGGATCTGAGTACTTCCTCATCCACAGCATAGCTATATCTACATTATACAAACCTTACTGAAGTAATAACGAACATACAGACTTTCCTGGTGAAAGCAATTGGTTGATATGTGTCAGATTTAACAATACAGTTCCTCTCAAGCATTTTCAGCTTTAAAGCTACAGTACAGTAACATTTTTATTCCTCTGTGCCGGTGACAGTCAGAGCCGGGGGCATATTGTTTTTGGGTTGTCTGTCCGTCCGTGTCCTTCCCATATCTCAGTAAGGCCTTGACACAACTTATTCAAATTCGGCACAAACATTCACAAGGACTCAAGGATGAACTGAGTAGATTTTGGGGGTCAACGGCCAAAGGTCAAGGTCACTGTGACCTCAGAAAATACTTTTTAGCTATTACTTAAGACTTCACACATCAATTATGACAAAATTGGATAAACAGGGATGTAACCTGAACCTGAGTGGTGGAGGCAGACAACCATGAGGAGGTGATTCTAGTTTTAAATATGTTTTAGG